CGCCACTAAGCCTTATGCGGGGGGTCATCTCTTTGGTGCGGCCCTAGAACCATACCTGATTGAAGGTAAGGATAAGCGCAAGTGTCTAGTTAATACTAATAAGGAGACAAGCGCACAGGGGCCGGTTCAACCCAGGTCTTCCATCGCAGACAGTCCTTTCAGTCCAACCCTAGTTGGGACTGGTCTCAATCCAATCACTCCTTCTATCAGAGGTCAGAGCAACATCAAGATCGTCCTGTACCTAGAACCCGACCACAATTCCAGGGCAAGCGGCCATTTCGAGGCCAGAGAGCTTGCCCCTTCAGAAGAGGCAAGTGATCCCACAAGCATACCTCCCATAGGAGGCCGGCTGTCCCTTTACTATAACGCATGGGCAGCCACAACTACAGATTCTTGGGTTCTCAACACTATATCACAAGGTTTAATGTTAGAGTTTCGGGCACATCCTCCAGACCGTTTCCGGAGTTGCCTCGCCCCCATTAGTAGGAGTAGAGCGGCCCTCATGTCGGAGGCCATTTCCCACCTGTTACAAATACGGGCCATAGAACCGGTCCCGCAAGACCAGGCAGGGCAGGGTTCTACTCAACACTGTTTGTTGTTCCTAAGTCTTCAGGGGGCTGGAGGACAATCCTTGATTTAAAGAAATTAAATCGTTACTTGATGTACAGGAATTTCAAAATGCAATCATTACAGTCAATTTTGGCCAGCATCCGGCAGGGAGACTTCCTAACATCAATAGACTTAACTGAAGCCTAGCTCCATATTCCTATTCTCCCTGGGCATCACAAATTCCTCAGATTTTGCTACAATCACCAGCACTACCAGTATAGAGCCTTACCATTCAACCTATCCACAGCTCCTAGAGTTTTTACAAAGGTACTGGCAGTGCTGGCAGTTCACCTCAGCCAGATCCCGGTCCGTGTCCAATGTTATTTAGATGACATTTTAATACAGTCCTCCTCCTTCTAGAGGGCCCAGTCTGACCTCGCCCTCGCTATTAGGACCTTTCAGGAGCACGAGTTTTCTGTAAATTTCCAGAAAAGCCATACTATACCTTCAGCTCCTTCATTTAGGGGCAGTAATAGACATCAGCAACTGCATGGTCTATTTGTCCCACGACCGACAGGACAGCATCAGGGCCCTTGTGCAGAGAATTCGCCAGGACAAGGTAGTCACCTTAGCCTTATTATCCCAGCTGTTAGGGAAAATGGTATCCTGTGTGCACATTATACCGTGGGCCCATCTTCATGCCCGGGAACTGCAGTGGGTCCTTCTTCCCTTTCAGAAACTACACATCAGTGCTTCCAGGCAGAAGGTTCGAGTTCCGCAGTGGGCATTGAACTCCCTTCGATGGTGGGCTTCTCCGGTACTGGCACAGGGCACAGAGTTCAAGGAACCAGTCAGAACTGTCCTCACCACAGACGCCAGCCCATTTGGCAATGGGCTCAGGGTCGGTGGTCCCAACAGGACCTATTAAACAATATCAACTGGCTGGAACTCAGAGCCATTCATCTGGCACTACAACATTTCAAAAATGTGATAGCGGGTCAGCACATATTAGTGCTTACGGACAACATAGCTGCCAAGGCCCATGTAAATAGATGGGGGGGGACAGATGGGTCCACACCCCTTATGCAGGAGGCCAGATGATTGGGGTCTTGGGCAGAGCTGAAGCTTGCTTCCATCAAGGCGGAGCACATATCCAGGGCGACAAATCACCAGGCAGATTCGCTAAGCAGAGCCACAGTGGACCATGGCGAATGGCATCTGGACCCGGGAGTGTTCAGGGAGATCGTGGACTGGTTTGGTGCCCCAACCTTAGACCTTTTTGCCTCCCCAACCAACTCACAACTACCAAGGTTCCTTTCCAGGTTCCTGTCTCCATTAACAGAGGGGACAGATGCCCTCCACAGTCCCTGGCCCAGGGAACTGCTGTATGCCTTCCCTCCCTTTCCGCTCCTTCCAGCCACGATCTGCAGGATTTTACATGAGCGGGTGGAAGTTCTCCTGGTCACTCCTCATTGGCCACGATGACCGTGGTTCGCGGACCTGGTGGAGCTATCCGTCTCACCCCCATGGAGGATTCTGGCAGGTCATATCGCCCTCACACAAGGGGATATCCAGCACCCGGACCCACAGTGGCTCAATCTAACCGTTTGGCACTTGAGAGGCAGGCCTTGAGCCATGACTCATATTCGTTGAGGGTGATAGCTGTGATTCAACAATCCAGGTGCATCTCGACGAATAGAATATATGATGCCACTTGGAAGAGTTTCTGCAATTGGTGCGCAGGACATAAAGTGGAACTCTCGGGTGTCTCGGTTCCTATTGTGCTGGAATTCCTGATGGATGGGTTAGATAAAGGGCTATCCCCGAGCACAATCCATGGACAGGTTGCTGCTCTCGCTACTGTCCTCATGTGCGAAAATGCCCCTCTGACTCACCATCCCTTGGTTCGTTCCTTCTTGAAGGGAGCTAACAATGCCAAGCTATCACCAGTTCATCAATACCCCTCGTGGGACCTACAACAGGTCTTACAAGCTCTGATTGCACCCCCCTTTGAACCTATGGAAACATGCTCACTTGATTTGTTATCAATGAAGATGGCATTCCTTGTGGCAATCACGTCGGCCAGGCATATTTCGGAGCTGGTTGCTCTTTCCTTCAGGGAGGACCTATGCATTTTCTTCCCAGACAGGGTAGTCCTCAGGCTTGACCCTTCCTTTGTTCCCAAGGTGAACTCTCTGTACCATAGGTCCCAGGAAGTGGTTTTACCAGATTTCTGTCCTGACTCATCCCAGGACACTGAGAGTCAGTGGAGCACACTGGACATCCGCAGGGCATTGCAGTGTTATATCAAGCGGACTTCAGTTTTCCGAAGGTCCGAGGCCTTGTTCATCTCCTTCCAACCTTTGGCCAAAGGTCAGAAACTGTAGGGAGGTGGATCAGGTCTTGTATTGCCCTGGCATACAAGAACCAGTCATTACCGGTCCCTAGAAATATTACAGCCCATTCCACTAGGGGTGCTGCTACTTCCGCAGCTTGGGCGACACAGGCTTCTATAGGGGAAATTTGCAGGGCGGCCACGTGGTCTTCCCCTTTGTCCTTTATCCGTCATTACAAAATTTACCAATATGCATCTTTGGATTCCTCCTTTGGCCTCAGAGTTTTGCAGAAAGTATTGCCATCTAGAATGTCACAGGCCCAAACTGACTCCCTCCCTTAGGGACACAGGGCTTTGGTAAGTCCCACTAGTGGAGTCTCCATCCAATCATGCTGGAGAAGGGGCGTTGTCTTACCTGAACGCCTTTTCTCAGCATGATGATGGAGACTCCACCCCCTCCCAGATAAGGTCAGTTGGTCCTGATTCCAATAATGGAAATGCAATTGCGTGGGCTAACATCTGTACATCGACTCAGTCTCAAACTGGGACATGGGGACACAGTAGAGGCGTGACTTTAACTCTGACTTAGTCTTATTGGAGCAGCAAGATTAAGACAACCCACTAGTGGAGTCTCCATCATCATGCTGAGAAAAGGCGTTCAGGTAAGACAACGCCCCTTTTCTTACAGATGTTTCATTACCAGACTAACATCTTCACTTCTAGAAGGTAGTGAGGCATGCTCTTATTTTTAAAAATTAGTCGATTGCCTATTCAGTGTTGGTGGAAGTGGCCTTGGTGGTTACTTGATTAGGCTATTGTTTACAATTAGCTTGTTTTAATTGACAGTTCCTTGTTTGGAGTATTGTTTACTGCCAAACCTATTAAACCTACACATTTTGTAGACTATAAACATATATGAATATTAGCTCCAATCACAGTAGGTTGCTTTTGAGACTGGAATTTGCAAAATTAGGTCTGGAAGTGGGATGGATGGTTGTTTCTGTTTGAAGAGGGAATAGAAATGAAAGATGACCTGTTTAAGGCTTTGTCTTGTTTTGTTCTCTCTGGGATTTGATTTAGGTTTTGGCAAGGTTTGTAAGAAACATTCTGCATTCTTAATGTAAATATAGCACCTCCCCCGTTATTGACGTAGCAACTCATCACATTATATAATAAGCCTCTATTCCATTTTTAAGAGTGCTACTAAAATAGTTTCAGCAGCATCATTTAAGGATAAGGGAAGACAAAGACAATGTTTATTATTCTTTAGGATTCTTAAAAGTTACTTTAAGAGTAAATTTAAGGCAATCTTATATTGCTCAAACTCAGATTTGGTAAATAGTTTGTTGAGGCCTTAGGTAACATGCTCCACGAACTGTAATACACTGTGCAATGCTATCCCAAGGATGCAGATATTTCAAAAAGGGGATACAGATTGAAGCTTCCTGGGGCATGTTTTGCTGGTCTCAGAGGCTCCATTGTCTACATAAAACTGAGCTTTTCCATACTTGAATGGCACCTTGCTATTAAATTAACTTGTGAGATGTTGAGAAATTATCATAGTATTGCTGTATTTCAGAAAACTGTTTTTAACATAGTAAATTGTACAGTGTTTGTTTGTTTACCTGTCTTATCAATGATATTTACTGTGGATGTTTATCATTTGTATATAAGAAGCTGGAATGACATTAAGAACATACATATCTGATAAATAAATGACACTCTTAAATCAATATTTTATTTCATTTCATTTATTAGATTTATTTGCCGCCCATTTTGTTTTGAACATTTGCTTTCTTGTAAGAAGCATTCAGCTTCATCTAGTTTACTTGTCCTTCTCTAAGCATTAGCACAGTGGTTCTCAACCTTTTTAATGCCGTGACCCCCAACCGGTCGTAAGTCAAGGACTACTCAACCAGTCGTAAGTCGAGGACTACTCAACTGGTACAGAATGGGACTTTTGGCGGGCTCAGCAGGGCAGAGACAGCCTGGACAATTCCTATTGGCTTTTAAAAGCCAATAGAATTAGACTCTATTCAAGAGAGTCTATTCTATTGGCTTTCAAAAGCCAATAGAATAAAAGGGAGTAGCACAGCTAAGGAAAAGGGGGTGGAAAATGGTGGACTGTGTTGTTTGGCGACCCCCGTGAAATGGTTGTTCGACCCCAAATGGGGTCCCGACCCACAGGTTGAGAACCACTGCATTAGCATATTGATAGCGATGGCCCTGAAGTTTATACCTTTCAACACATGGCACTGCAGTCCCTATCAGCAAAAGTGTAGAGGCTGATTTTCTGTCTTTGAGTTACTTGAGCCCACGGTTTTGCAAAGATGCACTTTCCGATATCAACATAATTTCCATTAAATGTCCCTTTTGAAATAGAAAAGATACATAAAAATGGAGTCAATATGTGACTGTAAAGATTGCACGTTTCCCACTGAAGTGGTACCCATTTATCTACTTGCAATGTTGTACACTTTTGAATGGCTGGGTGTGAAGGAGCTAGGGATCTAGTTATGGGATCTCACTCTGCCTCACAGAGCTGGGCTCTAACCACTGGAGTGCAGACCATTTCTGGCCAGCAGTTCCAGTGTCATTAAACCACTGTGCCACTCCATCCACTTTTCTCAGAAAATCTGTAGTCTTGTAAAGCAAGCTTCATATCTCTACAGGAACTGACAATACCTCACTGACACTTGCTTATCCCTCCAAAAATGGGATGGAAAGTGACCAAGAAATAACATAGACTAGATTAGGAATAATGATAATGTTGAAAGTATTGGTATGCAATGTGCCATCCTTTTTAATTTATATATGTATTAATTGTGTTGTTACTAGTTTATTGGTATTCTCTACCTGAAATTAGGTAGTCATCTTCTTGGAACGGACCATCATGTATATATCCACAGTCAAACACTGATTCTGGCGAGTAGAGAATCTGTGCATTTGCTGCTCTCCATGAACCCTTGAATACCTCCAGAAAGAAAAATAATTCAGTATTTGATAAGGGCAAGAGTAGGTCAGGAGAATTTATCATGAGAGGAACAATATCCCTTCACAAAAGATTGAATATCTGCCAATTTGCTCTTTGTCATATGTTTCAGGAAGATGAGAGGCTTACCTGAATAACCCGAACAGAAAATTTATTCATCTGCAAATACGGAGGAGATTCAGGATCCCGCTGGACACCCAAAAATAGGACCCTCATCACTAGAGAAGGAAGGAGAGAGAGAGGGTGTGAGAGAGATTTTCCCGTAAGAGGTTTTAAATTGCAGATTTTTCAATACAGAACAAACTCATTGGTGCTGGTTAGTCTTATTCACAAAGGATTCTGAAATAAGTAATATACAGTATTCGGCTTTCATGACAGGAATGGTTTTGCTACAACTGGAAGGATTAATGCTGGCAGCAAAACCTACGAAGTAGAGAAATGGGGAGTGGTAAGGGATGGGAGAAAAATATTCATTTTCAAAACTCACCAAAGTTATGTTCGCAACATGCTTGCCGGAGACTTGGTCGGTTACATTGGCAGGTCTCAGTGAGATCCCCCAAGAGCATGAAGACAAGGAACCTGGCTAGGAAAAATCCATATGGTTTTGTAGTATCCATTTCTGGCTTTGCATGAAGCCTCTCGCTTAGGACAGAGGTAATGTTTCCTTTCTGCAGCAGTCTTTCTGGAAGAGCTTTGAATGAGAGAGCACCAGCTAAAGATTAAAGACAAATTGTGACCATTGTGTCCTGTAATTGTGACAATTGTATCCTATAGTTGGTCATAGAACAGGATGATTCAAGTACTGAAATATAAGCTTTTTTCCAAAGTGTCTGAAGGCAGGACAAGAAACAACAGATGGAAACTAACCAAGAAGAGACGCAACCTAGAACTAAGGAGAAACTTCCTGACAGTTAGAACAATTAATCAGTGGAACAACCTGCCTCCAGAAGCGGTGAATGCTCCAACACTGGAAGTTTTTAAGAAGAGACTGGACAGCCATTTGTCCGAAATGGTATAGGGAAGGTCATGGGTGTTTCATCCTGTGGAAAAACTTCAGATTTAAAGCTTGGGTCCTACCTGTCTTGCCCACTACACCAAACTGACACCCCTAGAGAGTTTGCTACAAAAGGTATTGGCTGTTTTTTCCTCACCTTATTCTCTGTTGCTCCTGGGTTCTTCTCCAGAGGCAAACTTTGTTCCCTAGTGTATTCTCCTGGTATTTAAAGCTTCCCCTCACCCCTTCTCTCAAATTTTCTCTTGCCTTCATGTTAATAGTTGCCATTCAAACTAGCCACACTTGATTTCTCAAAGAACTGGCAACATAATATGTCCCCATTTGGTTTGCTGAATAGATTAGATTTCTGGAAGACAGGTTTGGACACAGCATACCTTACCTTATCTGACCATAAAAATCAGCCATTTGTGTTTCTGGCATCAGCTCTTCTCTTCAAGTAATTAATGGGGGAGGATGAGGAAAAAATATCTCTGCTAGAGAGAAGTTCCCTGAGTCTGAAAGCTTGGAAGATTAACTCTCTGCTCCCAGTAACTGAGCCAGGTGGGATCCTGCAACATTATCCTTCATTCAAAAATATAACTGTCCAAGACTTTTTCAGACTTCATGATATAGGGATCTTGGCTGCCAAATCTATTTGTTTATTAACAGATGAGCAGTTATGCTTTAATCCCAAATCATATGAGAAACTCAAGTTGTGGAATAACCAGATTTGAAAATGACAGAGAAAATGTTTTGCTAGAAATCTTGGCCTAAATAAGAGATCAAAATCAGTTGGTTTCAAATGTTTTAACAGTTTGAGTGATTCCGAATATTATCTACTGTACAATCTTTGCTTGGCTAGATATACAGCTGAAACATAAGCATTGAACAGTATGGCCCAGATCTTTTAATAGCCATCTGTAGCTTTAGAAGCCTTAAGAAAATTTAAAAAGACATAGATGATCAATTATTTTCATGCTGCTGTTGTAATAAATTAGGTAACCAATTCACTAAAGTTCCTTAAAAAAGGCTCTGTACCCAAGGCTGGACAATTGCAAGAGGAGGATGCTATTAGATTTGAGATCCCGGTGGATTATATTCTTAGCATGAAGCTAACTGGGGGAAAAATATAATGAGTTATGACTGTGTTTTCTTTACATAATCATTCTTTGGTGTGCCCCTCATTTCTCTGTGTGCTTGGCCTGCATCTATGTTGGGGAATAGATTATATGCAGTAAGCGGTTCTTTTTTTTTTTTTTTTTTTGCTGATTCAGGCACTTCACCATTCTCTCTTGTATCAGTTTGATTTCTCAGAGCTCAGACCCCATGAATATAAACGTTCCCAGGTTATGACTTCTTGTTCAGCAACCATTTAAACTTGTGGCAGCATTGGGCAAAGGGTCCTGGTGATGGATCCTCAGCATTCCAGCCATTGCAATGTCCCAGCAGTCATGTGATTGCAAGTAAGTCTCTTTCTGATTACAGCCTTACATATTAGCAGAAGAATCCTTTTGCTACCTATCCTTGTATTCAGTTCTCTCTCCTTAGAAGCCTTGGTGCGCAGGTTCCATATTTCCTTCAGAAAGACAGCTCAGTTGCTTATTGAATGTTTGCACTAAATTGCACTGCTGAATTTTCATTGTACCTTGGATGCCCTTGTAGACATTCTCCAGATGTTCCAATGTTACAGTAGATACAGAAAAGGAGATCTCCCTTTCTTTGCTGCCAGTAGCTGGGACACGATGAGAAGAGATTTGGAGAATTTGGAAAATGGTTGTAGTCCCAGAGTCTCCTATACCCCAATTGAAAATCTGTAGAGATCAGTTTGAGAGTTATTCTAAATTAGGACCACCAGATATGGGCAAAGAGTAGGCAGCAACAAGCAGTTGTCACTTTCTGTTTTCTTCTGCTGCTGAGAGCATTGAATCCAGAAAGTGGTGAATGACTCATTGTGGGTGGGAAACTTTAAGAGCCACACCCCACATCTGGCTCATTGGAAGACCACCCCATCAGAAGCCTTCCTTTCTGGGAGAAGATACTGACAAGACAACCACAAAACTCTGCAGAAACTGTGTTTTTGGGAGGGTCCCTTTCAGTCAGGATTTATTCCCAGGCCGGGGACAGAAACAACATTGGTTGTATAGTTAATGACCTTTTTCAGCACTTTGTTTGGGGTAATTCCCTGCTTCTAGTACTGTTGTACTACTCATTAGCTTGGGTTATTATCAGCCTGCTATCCTTTAGATCACCTGCAAAATTTGGGACTGTTTTACAATAGTTTAACTCCTATCTTAGGCAGTTGCCATGAGAGGGTAATGTGTTCAATGCCCTGCACAAATCACTGATAATTGTCTGAGTGAAAATCCAAGGAGTGATTTTGTCTAATAGAGCCCCACGTGGCTGGCACTACAGTATCTTCAGGACTACCTTCTCCAACCAAGATTGACATCTACAATACATAGATCATAATCACAGCAATCCCAGATTTCTATGAAGTAAATGGGACTGAGGGGAGATTAGGAGATTATGTCTTTCCATCACAGCACCAATCCTAGGGAACATCTTCCCTTTGGAGAAAAGATGGTTTCCCCTACCTCACCCTTGAAGAAAGTGACAAAACTGCACTTTTCCATACTTGAGTGGCACCTTGCTATTCAATTAACTTGTGAGTTGTTGGGAAATTATCATAGAATTCCTGTATTTCAGAAAACTATTTTTAAGATAGTAAATTGTACAGAGTTTGTTTGTTTGTTTATCCTGGCTTATCAATGACATTGTACATATTTTATCCTTTAGTATATAACAAGCTGGAATGACATTGAAAACATACACATCTGATAAATAAATGACAATCTTAAATCACATTTTATTTCATTTCATTTATTAGATTGATTCACTGCTCATATTGTTTTGACCATTTGCTTTCTTGTAATAAGCATTCAGGTTCATCTAGTTTATTTCTCATTCTTTAAGCATTAGCATATTGACAACAGCCATGAAGTTTATGACTAAGGACAGGACACATTGCAGCCCTTACCATCACCACTTTTCAGGATTTCTTTCTGTTTAGAAGTTACTTTATCCCATGGTTCTGCAAAGCTGCACATTGAAATTTTGAAACGATCATCTGAAATTGACCCTTTTGAAGTAGAAAATATATATAAAGATGATGTCAATATGTAACTGCAAGGATTTGTTCACAACCCGAACCCAAACCCTTGAAAGCAGGTTTCAGTCTCTGCAAGAACTGACAATATCTCACTGATACTGGCTTATCCCTCCAAAAATGTGATGGAAGGTGACCAAGAAGTACTATAGAGCAGATTAGTAAAAATGATAATGTTGAAAATAATGTTTTGCAATTTGCCATCTTTTTTAATTTATATGTATTAATTATTACTAGATAATTGGTATTCTCTACCTGAAAATACATAGTCATCTCCTTTAAGAGGGCCTTTGTGTAAATATCCACAGTAGTCATCTGAGGCTGAGCTATATAGGAACTGTGCTTTTCTTAGTTCCTTTGGACCCTTGAATACCTTCAGAAAGAAAGATAATTCAGTATATAATAAAGACAAGAGTAGGTCAGGAGAATTTGTCATGAGAGGAATAATATTCCTTCACCAAAGATTGGATGTCTGCAAACTTGCTGTTCCTGATAATGTTTCAGGAGGAGGAGGGGCTTACCTTGATGGGCTGAATAGTATAAATAATTTTTGGAGAATACGATGGAGATTTAGGATCCGGCTTGACACTCATAAATTTTGCCCTCATCACTGGAGAGAGAGAGAGAGAGAGAGAGAGAGAGAGAGATTTCTAGTAAGAGGTACTTGCAGATTCTCAGTACAAAGCAAACTCAATAATGCTGGTTAGTCTTATTCACAAAGGCTTCCAAAATAAGTAATAAGTTCGGCTTTCATGACATAGGAACGATTTTGTTGCAACTGGAAGGATTAATGCTGGCAGCAAAACCTACAAAGTAAAGAAGTGGGGAGTAGTAAGAAATGGAAGGGAGAAAAATATTCATTTTCAAAACTCACCAAACTCAATTAATTTAATTGAGTACTTAGAAAAGAACAATCAAATCCCCGCGGCTTTGATTTTTTTTAGATGCTGAAAAAGCTTTGGATCAATTAGATTGGCAATTTTTATTCAGAGTAGTAGAGGAAATGAATTTTGGGGATAAATTTTTATCTGCCCTTAAGGCTATATATCAACAACAATCTGCACAAATTATAATTAATGGGGGATTAACAGAAGCATTTAAAATTAAAAAGGGTACAAAACAGGGATGTCCTTTATCACCATTGTTATTTGTTTTAACAATAGAGATTTTTACTTATCAAAATTCAGGAGTCACCTTGTATAAAGGGAATAAAAATAAATAAGAATGATTATTTATTTATTTATTTATTTATTAAAATTTATAAACCGCCCCACTCCCGCAGGACTCCGGGCGGCTAACAATAAAAACACAATATAACTTAACAAGACAAACAATACAGTAACATTCATCCAGGGATCAGATTTTATAAACCCCAGGCCTGCCGGAAAAGCCAGGTCTTAAGCAGCTTGCAGAAAACCAACAGGGTGGAAGCGGTCCTAATCTCCGGGGGGAGCTGGTTCCAAGACGTAGGCGCCATCACAGAGAAAGCCCTCCCCCACAGCCCCGCCAAATGGCACTGCTTGGCCAACGGGACCTGAAGGAGGCCCAGCCTGTGGGATCTAACCAGACGAAGGGAACTATGAGGTAGTAGGCGGTCTCGCAAATAGCCTGGCCCAGAGCCATATAGAGCTTTAAAGGTAATAACCAACACCTTGAATTGGACCTGGAGACCAATAGGCAACCAGTGCAGCTCGCGGAGGATAGATGTAATGTGGGTATACCGAGGAACACTCGCTATCACTCGCGCGGCTGCATTCTGGGCCAACTGTAGTCTCCGAATACTTTTCAAGGGTAGCCCCATGTAGAGCGCGTTGCAGTAGTCCAAGCATGAGGTGACAAGGGCATGAGAGACTGTAAGGAGAGCCTCCCGGTCCAGGTAGGGTCGCAACTGGTGCAACAGACGAACTTGTGCAAAGGTCCTCCCAGCCACTGCCGTCAAATGAGGTTCCAATTTCAGCTGTGGATCAAGGAGGACACCCAAGTTGCGAACCCACTCCGAAGGGGGTATATTTTCCCCTGCTAGAGTCAACACTGGACAGTTAACATGATCCTTGGGAGGCAACATCCAAAGCCATTTGGTCTTGTCAGGATTGAGCCTGAGTCTGTTAACCCCCATCCAGACCCTCACGGCTTCAAGGCAACGGCCCATCACATCAGCCGCTTCACTGAGAGAGCTCGGAGAAGAGATATATAGCTGGTTTATCATCAGCATACTGATGAAACCTCACCCCGTGCTGTCTGATGATCTCACCCAGCGGCTTCATGTAAATGTTAAATAGGAGGGGGGAGAGGACCGACCCCTGCGGCACCCCTCATTCAAGGGGCCTTGGGGTTGACTTCTGCCCCCCCCACCAGTACTGATTGCAACCGGCCAGAGAGGTAGGAGGAGAACCACCGTAAAACGGTGCCTCCCACTCCCATCCCTCCAAGTCGTCGCAAAAGGATACCATGATCGATGGTATCAAAAGCTGCTGAGAGGTCAAGTAGCACCAAGACAGAGGAATAACCCCTGTCTTGGGCCCGCTAGAGATCATCCATCAGCACAACCAAAGCAGTTTCTGTGCTGAAGCCGGGCCTGAAGCCAGATTGAAAAGCATCTAGGTAATCCGCTTCATCCAGAGACCATCGGAGCTGGAATGCCACCACTCTCTCTATAACCTTCCCCAAAAAGGGGAGATTGGAGACTGGACGGAAGTTATTTAAATCAGCCAGGTCCAGGGTAGGCTTCTTGAGAAGGGGCCTCACAACTGCTTCCTTCAAGGATTGCAGGAAAGATCCCTCCCTCAACGAAGCGTTGATCAACACCTGGAGCCAGCCTCGTGTCACCTCCTTGGCTGCCGAGACCAACCAGGAAGGACATGGGTCCAATAAACAAATGGAGGCGCTCATCGCTCCCACCGCTCTGTCAACATCCTCAGCGATCACAGACTCAAATTCATCCCATAAAACTGGGCTAAGACCTGCCCCGGTCATCTCAGAAGGCCCTGCCCAATCGGAGTCTAGGTCTGTCTGAATCCGAGCAATTTTGTCTGATAAAAACTGCACAAATTGTTCCGCCCTACCCTGTAAGGGCTCCCCGGCTTCCTGAACATTAAGTAGGGAACGGGTCACCCTAAACAGGGCGGTGGGGCGAGATTCTGCAGATGCAATAAGTACGGAAAAATGTAAACATTTTGCCGCTCGTATCGCCACTAAATAAGTCCTAATATAAGCTCTTAAAAGTGTCCGGTCGGGTTCGGAGTTACTAGCCCACCAACGTCGCTCTAGACGTCTCTTCTGATGCTTTATCTCTCGTAGCTCCTTAGTAAACCAAGGTGCCCTCCGGGATCCACAATCACGGAGAGGTCGCAAAGGCGCAATCCAGTCTAACGCCCCTGATGCCACCTTATTCCAAGCAGCAACCAAGGACTCAGCCGGTTCGTGGAGGAGGGAATCAGGAAAACCCCCAAGCACTATTTGGAACCCCTCCAGGTCCATTAAACGCCTGGGGCGGAACCACCTAATCGGTTCTGCCTCCCTGCGGTGGGGGAGTAGGACCGAGAAATCTAACCTCAACAGGAAGTGACCCGACCATGACAAGGGAGAAGTAACTATACCCCTTAAATCGAAATCACGTCTCCACTGCCCCGAGAGGAATACCAAGTCGAGGTGTGTCCTCCCCTATGGGTCGGACCCTGAATTATCTGGGTCAGATCCATGATTGTCATGGAAGCCATGAACTCCTGAGGCGCACCGGAGGATTCATCGAGTGACGGAAGATTGAAATCCCCCAGCACCATAAGCCTGGGGAATTCCACCACCAACCCGCTACCCCCTCCAGCAGCTCGGGCAGGGCTGTTGTCACATAGCTGGGAGGCAGGTATGTCAGCAACAAGCCCAACTGAACCCTTGAATCCAACCTCAAGAGAAGGGACTCACACCCAACAACCTCTGGGGCAGGGATCCTGTGAGGTCTCAAGGATTCTCGGACAAGAATCGCCACTCCCCCACCCCTTCCCTGGAATCGCGATTGGTGCATTATCTGAAACCCGTTTGGGCACATCTCTGAGAGAGGAACACCTCCCTCTTGGCCCAGCCAGGTCTCAGTGATACATGCCAGGTCGGCCTCCTCATCCAGTATCAGGTCCCGGATGAGGGGAGCTTTATTAATAACTGACCTGGCATTAAGAAGCAGCAACCTGAACACTCCCCTCTCCAGGTATTGGAGAAGAGTCCAAGGGGCCGGAACAAGTAATCGTTTTGATGCGAGTCCTTGTTCCCCGAAAAAGGCCCACCCCTTGGCTCCCACCATATCTACCTCTCCCTACGATAACCGGGATGTTCCGGCCTACCTCCATCCCCGAAAACTCCCCACCCACCCAGCAGGTCTCCCTCCCACCATCCCTCCCTCCCGGCAGTCCACATCTCAGATTCATATCGAGCCGGGAAGTACATCCGCCCCCTCCCCACTTCTGTTTACACATTCAGCAGAGGGGGCACCAGTTCTCAATCCCAGCTCCATCACTCACACCCGTACAAACCCTAATACAATAAAACTAAAAAATAAAAACAGTCAATCATACATCATCATAAAAGTTAAGTCTCCTGCAGATATACTCATTCCAAGAATGGCGGAAGATATTATGGACTTACAGTCCCAAAATTTGAGGACAGCTGGCCAACTGTAAACAAGACCGGGCCCGCGGCTGTGTATTAAAACCAAATAAAACCAAGGTCCAATGTCCAAAGCAAGGTCTATAAATAATCATAAATAAATAGCACCATCCATTCAAGCCTCGGTCTCAATCTCAAAGTTAAATAGTGGTTTAGTTCTTGTCGTAGTCTCATCATACCCCTAGAACTGCTAGACAACCAAGTTAGGTTGCCAGATGGAACAAGACAGGTTACCAGATGGAAACAAAAACCTCCGACCGTCTGAAAGCCAGAGCAATCACAGAGACCCGTCACACATCCCATCGGGTTCCTCCTTTTATCCAAAAATTGTAAAAAGGGTGGAGATGAGTGTTGAGAAATTCTGGGAATTGAAGTCCACAAGTCATCAAAGGGTCCTAATTCCCTCATGCCGGCCAAGGAATTCTGGGAGTTGAAGTCCGCCAGTTGTCTTCCTCAGTAGAATGAGCCCCCTCTGATATGTAGATTTCCAGCTTGTGCTTGAAAGGTAGACATCGCTGAAATTTGATCCTCAAACAGAGTCTGATGAGCGTGGCCAGCGAGCAGTGGGGCACGGTGGGCGTGAAGCGGATGGTGATCAGGCTCTCGCCCAGTTGAGAGCCTTTGCTGATGATTTGGTTGTGACATTATCTCAGCTGACAGATTCGGTTAGGGCTTTGGTTGAAATTTTAATTCAGTATGGGAAGGTTTCTGGTTTTAAGGTAAATAATAATAAGACTAAAATATTAGTGAAAAATATGTGTATGAAGGAAAAGGATATTATGGTCAAATTAATAGGTTTTGAAATAGTGAGAAAGGTTAAATATTTAGGAGTATATATAACAGCTTCTAATGTTAAATTGTATAAAAATAATTATGAGACATTATGGGCAAAAGTGCAAAAGGACTTAAATAATTGGAAAAAAATTACAATTATCTTTGTTGGGGAGAATATCGGCAGTTAAAATGAATATACTTCCAAAGTTTCTTTTTTTATTTCAGATGATACCTATTTTGAAAAAAGATGCTAATCTGGAGGAATAGCAGAAGGGGATTAACAAATTCATTTGGGCAGGGAAAAAGCCGAGAGTTAAATTTAAAATTATGCAGGATACACGAGAAAGAGTATTAAAGGCGCCTAATTTAAAATTGGACTATGATGTGGTGGCTTTAACGCTGATTAGTGATTGGCTCAACTTAACAAATAAAAATATTCTTTCTCTTGAGAGATGGGATTTATTATATGGATGGCACGGGTATTTAATTTATGATAAAAAAAGTTGATCAGGTTTTTAAAACCCATATTTTGAGAAGTGCCTTGTTGCGTGTCTGGAAGAAATATTATTATAGGTTAAATTATAAAATTCCAATTTGGGGGATTCCTGGACACGTGATAGAGAGAGTATCTAGGGGAGTAAATTTGGATAAGATTTCTTACAAGGAATTACTTAGTTTGGTTGGGCAGCATTGGCAATTAAAGCCCTTAACTGAATTGAAGCAAGAAAATATTGTATATTCTTGGTTTTATTATAATCAATTGTTAGTGAGGTGGAGTATAGATCAAAAGGTTGGTATTACTTTAGAGGATGTGAATTTGGTAAAACAGATTAAAGATCAAAGTCGAGCTCATATAAAAAGAATTTATAGTGCCTTAATAGAATTGGACTCTGAAACGGAGTTAGTTAAAGATTGTATGGTCAAATGGGCTCAAAATATTCAAGATCCGATTTTATTGGATACATGGGAGACAATTTGGGTTAGAAATGTAAAATTTACTCAAGTGCAAAATTTAAGAGAAAATTTTTATAAAATGTTTTATAGATGGCATTTGGATCCCCAAAAGTTGTCTCGCATGTATCCGAATTTACAGCCCAAATGTTGGAGATGTGGAAATTTAGATGCAACTTATTTTCATATCTGGTGGACCTGTAGGGATATTAAAGCCTTTTGGATTAAGATTTGGTGGAATATTCAAAAGATTTTTAAGAGAAAGATAAAGTTTACTCCGCAATTATTTTTGTTGGGTATTATGTAGATTTTGATGTTAAAGAAATTAATTTGATGCTGAATCTTATAATAGCTGCAAGATTATTGGTGGGGCAATATTGGAAGAAAAACTTACTGCCTACTTTGGAAGAATGGATACTTAAGGTGTCTAATTTAGCAGAAATGGCGAAAATCTCCGCCTATTTGAAGGACTATTCACAAGAAAGATACATTATGGTTTGGAGAAAATGGATTGATTATATTCAAAAGAAATATGAAACTGAAAAGTATTACCTTGCTTTTGAGTAGATTTTAGATAATTATTAATAGTTTTAATTATATTATTATTATTGTTTTAATTTGTTAATATTTGTTTTGAGAAGGAGTTAAAGTGTGTTATGGTTTTGATTGATAGCATAGTTGGTTTATGTTAGTTAGATTATGTTTGTTTATTTGTTACCCTGTAATCAGCTCTGGGAAGTGGGGGAGGGGGAGAAGGGTTGAGGGGTGGGGGGGTTTATATTGTAATAAATTTGTAAAACTTTTAATAATAAAAAAAAGCTCACCAAACTTAGCTGTACGATATGCTTTCTGGAGAGATACTTGCACACATCTGCAGGCCTCTGTGAGATTCCCCAAAAACACGAGGACAAGGAAACTGGCTAGGAAAAATCCATGTGCTTTTGTAGAATCCATTTCTTGCTCTTTATGAAGCCACTCGCTTAGGACAGAGGTGATGTTTCCTTTCTGCAATAGTTTTTCTGAAGAGGGTTGAGTGAGCGAGCACCAACTGTGGAGTAAAGGCAAATTATGACTCTTTGTTCAAAATGGTCCTAGTGTTGACTACTCTGCTTCCAGCAAAGTGATCAGTGGGATGTTTTGTGGGTTGGGAAGACAAGGCAGGCTCCAAACTCAGTACAGGAAGATTCAAATATTGAAATATAAGGGAGAGCCATGGGTGTTTCATCCTGTATGACAAATTCAGATTTAAAACGTTGTTCTTGTGTGAATCACTCTTCCCAGGAACAAAGACTTAGCAGGGCCAGGATACCAAGTCTGGATTATAGATAAAAGAAGTGTAACAAGATAGGCTGAAAGATGCATCAACACTTAACAAAGGCAGAAGGAGAATGGGGCAGAGGCATGAAGGAAGACATTAGAATAAGAATTATTGTCTGGTGTTTTATTTTTATAAGCTTCAAATCAATCATGCCATTTTCAATTCCATGCATTTTCTTGATAACCTTTTCCAGAAATATTTTGCTATTGACTTCTTCCTGCGGCTGAAAGTGAGGGAATGACTTATGGTCACCAACTAGTTTTTATACTTCATTAGAACTCTAAGTTCCTAACCTACCTGCCTTGCCCATTACACCAAACTGGCACCTCTAGAGAGTTTGCTACACAATAAATTGGCAGTTTTTTCCTCACCTTATTCTCTGTCATTCCTGGCTCCTTCTCCAGAGGCAAACTTTGTTTCCCAGTGTACTCTGCTGATATTTAAAGCTCCCCCTCACTCCTTCCCCACAACTTTCTCTTGCCTTGATGTTCATAGTTGTCATTAAAACTATCATACTTCATTTCTCAAAGAACTGGCAGCATAATATGTCCCCATTTGATTTGCTGAGTAGATTAGATTTCTGGAAGACAGGTTTGGACACAGCATAACTTACGTTAATGTTATGTTAATGCTGACCATAAAAATTAATGTATTCCTTATCTACTTGTTTAATTTTGTTAAATGTGCACTCTAGCTCTAGAATTTCTTCTTGAGACAGAGAGAACAAGATATAAAGTGCAGGAATATAGAAATGGTATTTTCAATTTCCAAAGGCTCTGTCCCCATTGATCATAGCGCAATCATATCCTAACAATCTGGTCTTCTGGTTTCTCAACACTGCTCTCCTCTCATCCCCTGCTATGAGGTAGCCTTAAGTTACTATTAGATAGATTTGACAGTACTGTAGTATCTTCCTCCCTAAATTGACAGAACTCTTAATTTTTCGTCCTACCGTTTGTCGCTATTTTAACTATTCCAATCCATTTCCTCCAACTCCATCTGGCCACTTCTTTTGAGCCTCCCACCTCATTCCCCCAGTGTCATGGCCTCTGTAATCCTGAGGTGCCATGTCTTGTCATATTTATTTTGGAAAAGCTGTACAGAAGCTGGTTTCTTGGTCATTGGTGGCCATGACACCCTATGTATTATGTCTTTAGAATTTCAGGCTTCCTGAACCTTTCTGTCTTTTATCATTCACTTCTACACAGCTGCAGATCCCTAGCAACCATTTGTGTTTCTGGCACCAGCTCTTCTCTTCATTAATGGACTTCTGTCTAATGCAGTGGGGGGTGGGAGAAAACAACTGCCCAAGACTTTTGCAAACTTCAGGATATAGGGATCCTGGCTGCCAAACCTACTTGTTTATTGATAGCTAAGCAGTTATGCTTTAATTCCAAATCATACAAGAAGTTGAAGTTTTGAAATAACCAGATTTGAAAATAACAGGGAAGATGTTTTGCTCAAACTCTTGAGATCAAAATCAGTTGATTTCAAATGTTTAAATGCTTTGAGAAATTCTGTGTTGAATATTATCTACAATGTTTGCTTGGTAATACAAGCAGCCAAAACATCAGAATTAAACACTATGGCCCAGATGATCTAACAGCCTCCTGTAACTTTAGGAGCCTTAAGAAATGCAGTGCTTGAACCAGCAATTCATTTGTATACAGAAATTAAAAAGTTGAATGGAAAAATTAGTTATGTATCTGAATTGCGGAATGTGGAATTGGAATATCCAGTTTTGGAAAGTCAATGGGTCCAAGTGTTAAGAAATGCCAAATATACTCATGATTTAAACATGACCTTAACTCCACAGAAAGTATTATTTTGTTTATGGGACTTCCTGAAAGAAAGTTCAAAAAGAGATAATCATTTTTTCTTTTGTGCTGGTAAGAATTTCAAGGACCCTGAACTTGGAGAATGTGGTCTTTCCCACCTATGGCTATATTGTTTTGGTTTGAAATTATTATGCATGCTAGTACAACTTTGGAAAGAGTGGATTCTTTGACTATATTCTTAAAATGTGAAGCTTATCATCTCATGAAGTGCTCTGGTTTAATTGAGCCTGAGGTATGACAATATGATATTATACAAGATAGCATTATACAATATTATATAAAGCAGCTTACCATCTTGATTTTAAGGAAGGATCCAATAAATGAATCTGTTGTGTATTTTTGATAACATTCTGTGTTCCAAAAATGAGAATAGGAAAGAAAATTCAGATGTTTTTTATTTCTTTTCCTTTTTTTGTTACCATAGTAGCTCTTACACCAATTATAGAAACGGTTTATGAGAGCTGGCTTTATTTAGCAGTGTCTGAGCTTGGAAATATCACCATATGGCACCAGATATTTTGTTTTCATGGGGTAACACAGTGATTGCCACATTCACTAAACATATTATTTCATTTAGGTGCATGTACATGAAAGGCCTTGGTATTTGGAATAGGGGGCAATAGTCAGAAACACTAATTATTTTGAAGATACCAAAGCCTACAAACTACAGTAGAATTTTAGCAGCATCTCCCTAATGCAAATTTTTACTGTCCAGAAGCTCTTGAAATGAAGGACCGGTTAGCAAGATTTTGTTGTTGATACATTCTTAAATCTGTAATTTGATATAGGACTGAACACAGAGAAGAAGTCTCTAAACCAGACAGGTCTTAACCTTCTATGATATCATTGCTTGAGAATTCTCCGCTTTGCTTCTTATAAGGAGTGTCTACAAACCCCACATGGTAGTTACTTTTATCGTTATTGCTTTTTTTAATTATCATTATCATGTTTCTCTTTTACATTTATCTTCTAACTTTCAAAACAGACAAGAGTTCCTGAAACAGGTTGAGCCCCTTAAAAAAGTGCTCCTGGAGATGATGGAGCCCAAATCACCTCACAGTGGGCTCTTTACAAGACTGCAGCTGCTGCTTGGGAATTCCTTGGAGCCATAGGGCTAAGGACAGGATAAAGACCAGTCCACACAAAACTCCTTGGTGGGACTTCCCTCTGTCCGTTGGTGTAGAAAAAGACAATGCGATACCAGGTGCCCCCGACTGCACTAGGTTCCCGACTTTACGGAAGGGCTGAGCGCAGTAGCTACTGGCCTCAAGGACTGCATGGCCCTCAGCAGCCCCACTTTTTGCATTCACATCAGCCGCAGAGCCACAGAGTTAAAATGGTCAGTTGTGGGCCACACGGTGCAAAGCAGGTTCAGAGGCGCTGCGCTCTATCTTGGGCAAAGAGTGCTGAAGTGACTCAATAGAGGCCAGAATCTGAAAGAGAAGAAAGAGAGTTTCACTCAGAACTAGCACCTCACAAAATGCTATCTTAGTGGAGTTGAGTTCTGGAATCCTAACTCTAGTAGTGATACAGTAACAAGAACACCTAACGCTGCCAGAACGAATCTCAGTTTCCTTTCACCTTTTTTCAGAAAAGCAAAATTCCATCCTTTGAGCTTGCTATTCAACAGGTATAAAATATGCAGACTTGAAGGCCATAGAAACTCAGCAGAAGGCCTCTCTTTATGTGACAAGATGAAGAGAGAAAATGTGTAAATATGCACTTTATTGTTCCTATTTCTTTTCCCTCCCTCCACAGCTCCACGAAGTAGAATGATATACATTATGTGAAGATCTGCATGATTTATGTTTCTAACTTTTCTCTGAACTTGGAGTTTTGGCTTAGAAAGAAGTTATATGTTAAAAAGAACACAGAGATACTGCAATTGCGTTGGCCTGCCTCAGAATCAAAAATCCTGGGAGGAAAACATGAAAATGAAGCCAGGTATGGTAGCAGCTTATATAATTCTATATGGAGATGAGAAGGTCAAGAGAGGAAAATGAATTTTTCTCTTTCATAACACTATGACAGTAGTGTTAATCAGTAGCTTTAGGACACATGAAAAAAAAAGCATTTCTTCATATAAAACTCATAATTACCTTTAGAGAACTTGATGGACAAGAGTGCATGGAAAGCCGAATAGCACCAGCCTGAAGGCTCATCCTAATCCAGCCAGCATCTCTTGTCCACCAAAGCAGGAGATAAGAGTAATTAGTATTTCTGGCTTGCATTTCTCAGCAATTGAAAGTCAAATAAGAATATATTGAAGAATATAACTGTTACGATTAGTTGCTTTATCTTTCAAAGATTTGCCCATTGGCTTTCATGACAAAAAATATGGAACATCTTCAGAAGAGGAAGAGGCAAATCCATGTGCACGTGCTCGGCACCTCTGTTACTACTGTTGCTGGAGATACTTTCTGCCATGACATTTGGCTGATTAGTTTCTCAGAGATGTATGTTTGGCCATCAGCTAAAACATCATCCCAACTGATGGATCTTATATCCCGAGGGGCTTCAAACACTGGTATCCCCATCCCCATCCCTTATGGCCTCACCTGAGGGAAAAGGGGTCTTTCTTCACGACTGAATTTAAGGCAATCACTCATTAGCCTGCGCATGGCTTTGGGGCAATTGCTTGGCACCTTGCTAAGGTCAGGAGACAGATACCCCCGACCAACCATGAATATGATCTAGAAGAACAAGAGAGATGCAGTGTGATTTAAAAATTATGTAGGAAAACTACGCAGAGTTTCTGACATTGTTTCCAAGCCCCCCTCCCCTCAAATAGCTCCACTCCGAATCACGTGACCCGTAGAGAGGGAAGCTTGAATGGAGGAGTTGGCAGCATTCCACACCATGGCCCAAAGAGAAGCATTGGAGGAATTTTCCAAGTATGTTTCTCTCTTCAGTTTTGGGCTGGATAAGGCCCAATTTTGAACATGAACTTTCTAGTAAAAAGTGGGACTCTCTATCTGAATAAGATAGCGTCTCTCCTTGAAGAACACTTCAGAGGGAGAAGAGACTACAGGAGACCAGCAAAGATCTTGGCTGCTTTGAGAGTCACTTGAGCCCCTTCTGTTGACTGCACTGAATAGTCAGTGAGGACCATTTGGGCAAAAGAGTTAGGACACAGGATGTGGCTGAATCTCAGAATTCCCTTTCTTCCTTCCTTACCTGGTCCCGGTTGTTGATATGACTATACGGAAGAGTCCCGGAGAGCAGCTCATAGAGGACAACTCCATAGGAGTAGACGTCTGACTGGAAGCTGTAAGGATTGGGGTCCTGCATTCGAATCACTTCTGATGCCTGAGGGAATCCAGTGGGAAGGCATTAAGACTTGCAGATGGGGTAAGCCAGACCTTTCTATTTTCTAGAGAATAAACACCATCCGTTTTCTGCTACCCATATCTTCTTCTCTCCCCCAACCCTGGCCCTGTTTCAAAGCTTTACCTCCCAACATACACACCATCCAGAGGATGGAACCACTGGGTTGTTCCACTTGCTGTGAGCCACTCCAGCGTGTCTTCACTGTGGCAAGGCCAAAGTCACCAATCTTCACTGTCAAGCCTTCATGCAGGAAAATATCTGGCAGCAGCAGGTAAAGGAACTTCACAGGTATCTTGGCCTGAGTAGGTAATCACTTGTCCAACAAGAAGCACCAGTTATCTATTCCTGACCTCAATTCCCCAAGGTCTAACTTTTATCTCATGCAGCATCTTGGAAATATTTATAGTTTTGGAACTCCAACAATGTAGTGCAAACCCTCTTTTTCTGCTCTGACATGCTGCCTCTTAGGTAACTAATTCACTTAGGTTTCCTAAAAAAGGATTCCCACCCAAGACTGAACAGCTGAAAGAGAAGGATACTATTAGATTTGAGGTCCCGATGGATTATGTTCTTAGCATGAAGGTAACTGGGGAAAAGAGACGAGTTATGACTATTTTTTCTTTACATAATCATTCATAGGTGTGTTTCCCACTTTTCTGTCTGCCTGCATGTATATATATTGGGCATACATTATATGGAGTAAGTGATTTTTTTTTTGATTCAGGCATCTCACCATTCATCACAGGACTATTTCTGTTGCACCAGGTCCATTTCTCAGAGCTCAGACCCCATGAACATATGTGTGGTTCTCAGGTTATGACCTCTCATTCAGAAACCATTTAAACTTGTGGCAGTGCTGGACAAAGAGTACTTGTGTAGGCTCTTCAGCATTCCAGCCACTGCAATGTCCCAATAGTCATGTGACTGCACCTGGGTGCTTGGTGCCTGGCTCATGATGTTGTTTAGCAAGCCACAGTCACGCAATCACAATTTCTGACATTCCCTGCTGGCTTCTCCCAAGCAAAATCAATGGGGATGCTGACAGAAAGTCAGAGGTCACAATCACATGAGCACCTGGCATGATGACAACAGGACTGCTGCAATTGCCATTGTTAAGTGATGTGGTCATGTGACATCACATTTTATAATACATTTGTTAGGAATAGCAATTCTGATCCTAACTGTTGTTGGATCTGTGATATTTATTTCAAACCCAGTGGAGTCTTAGGACCTCTGCCTACAGTTGGCTGGATGTTGTGGAGTTCAACCTAATCCTACAGCTCAAGTGCTGATTCTCTATGGTGTGCCTGTAACACCAGGAGTATTGTAGTCCAGCCTTCCCCAACCTAGTTATTCTGGGAATTGCAGCCCCAACACAACTGGCAGATGCTTGGCTGAGCAAAAGTGTTGCAGACAGTGTGGGCTGAAACTAATGTTGGTTCTGGAAGTCAAATGATTTCAAAAAGCCAATCCTAAACCTGGTCTGCAAGAGTTCTTAACTGGGTTGATGCACTGGGGTTTTTGGTAGCACATTTAATTAGTTCTGCTCTTTTAATGATTGGTAATTGGTGGATTTTGTATTGGTTGGTTATGCTTTTATACTGTTATCACAAGAGTTGTGATTATTTAAAGTGTTGTTTCTTGAAAGATGTCCTACAAATAAATTTATCATTTATTATTACTAAAAATCCTATGGATTATTAGGTTTCCACCTCAATTAGCCGAGAGGCTCTGAATAGACCATAGCCAGGAACATTGTTCACAGTCTGCTTTCTTCCTTTGCAACTGCTCTTCAAAACATGCTGCCTTAAGACTTGGTGGCTCTACACTCACTCCATGCCCTGTGCTGTCTGTCGGGCCACATCAATCCGTTGCACCATCTCTAGGGGTGTTTCTTGTACATGCAAATGCTG